CAGCTGGAAAACATTATTGATCAGTTACTATAGTCAGCTGGAAAACATTATTGAGCAGTTATTGAGAACTACTAGAATACATTATTGTCTAATTAATTTAGCCATATATGACAAATTATTGGGTCGTTATTGTAATCTAGTGGAACACATTATTGAGAGGTTATTGTAGTCAGGTAGAACACATTATTGAGCAGTTACTATAATCAGCTGGAAAACATTATTCAGCAGTTATTGAAAACTGCTAGAATACATTATTGTCTAATTAATTTAGCCATATATGACAAATTATTGGGTCGCTATTGTAGTCTAGTGGAACACATTATTGAGAGGTTATTGTAGTCAGCTGGAACACATTATTGAGTGGTTATTGAGAACTGTTATAATACATTATTGTCTAATTAATTTGGCCATATATAACAAATTATGGAGTGGCTATTGTAGTCAGGTGGAACACATTATTGAACAGTTACTATACTCAACTGGAAAACATTATTGAGCAGTTATTGAGAACTGTTAGAATACATTATTGATTCATTAATTTAGCCATATATAACAAATTATTGGGTGGCTATTGTAATCTAGCGGAACACATTATTGAGAGGTTACTGTAGTCAGCTGGAACACATTATTGAGAATTGTTAGAATACCCTATTGACTCATTAATTTAACCATATATGACACAATAATGAACGTTTATTATACTCAGGTGGAACATATTACTGAGTCGTTACCGTAATCAAGTGGAACAAATTATCTATGAGTTATTGAGGACAGTTGGAACACATTACTGAGTCATTAATATATACCCCTACTAACCCCAGAAACTATTCAATAATGTATTCTACGTGACTACAATATCGATTCAATAATATTTTCCATATAACAACAATAGCCACTCAGTAATATATTCCACCTGTATAGATTAATGACTCAGTAATGTGTTCCAACTGTCCTCAATAATTCCTAGATAATTTGTTCCACTTGATTACGGTAACGACTCAGTACTATCTTCCACTTGGGCACATTGGATTGTAAACGATCTAGTGAATGGTAATAATATTTGTTCGATTTTCTCTTACCGAATATTGTACCAAACTAACAGCCTGTTTCTAGCTGTTACTCTAAGATAAACTTTCCTTCACCCGGACCAAACTACTTAGGCCATCGCCACCGAATATTCGCAGAAGAAAGCTCTCTTTGTGCTTATCCATGTACGTTGTGGTAAATATTTACATTGTAACCCCCTAGCGTTGAAAGGTGCGTCTTTCACCAAAGCTATCATTTCATTGATTAAACTATTTGAAAACGATCTCCTTATTTAAACAGAAATCGAATTAGACTGATAATGGTTTCTCAAGCAATAAACTCACCAGTTCTTTAAATTAACTTAACAATTTGTTTGGTTTATATACCATGCAATAAGGTTTTGGTTTATTCTACCCTACAAGAAACAGTTATTTCTATTCTACAGTAATTGTTTTGATTTATTCTATCCTAAAAGAAATCCATTGGTGTATTCTACTCTACAAGAAATGTTTTTGTTTGTTCTAACCTACAAGAAATATTTTACCCCTAAGATCTGACTTATAGCTTTCTCATTTATAAACAGTTAATAGTTACAATAAAAGTTTTAGTTCAGTCCACACTAGAAAAATAACATTTTGGTTTATTATACTACACAAGAAACCGTTTCGTCTATTCTACCACAGAAGAAACATTTTCAGCTATTGTAACATACAACAAACACTTTTAGCCATTCTATATCACAAGAACTATTTTAGGTTATTCTATCCTACAAGTGTTTTTATTCAGTCAGTTGTTGGAAATAAGAATTCAGTGTGAATGAAGCCTCTTCGACTGGTATACTACAGATAACTTTTCCCACAGACAAATGCTGTGGCTCTTTCTGAACCCTCAATCCAGAGGTCACGGTTCAGCGCACTTTGCCCCTCAGAAATCTCATGTTTCAAAGCTTCGTCGTGTGTGAATAAGATATGTAAGTAGAACCAGTTGCGACAGTGTTTTGTACAGTTGTCTGGATATGTGCTCCTGGTCCCGATAAAGTATTCGTGATGGAAATTTTGCTATTTTCTGTTCTTCTAGTTTTAGGAAGCCACCAGCTCGTGGAGTCCATCAGTCGGGATGAACTTTACCCTTATGGAGACCAGGATGACTTTCTACCACAATCGGACGATGTCAGCTCACTAGAAGTCCAGATCACAGTTCCCATCGTATTTTACGAAATTGTTTACAGAAGTATATTTGTGAGTGCTATGTTTCTAGCTGTATTGTCAAAAATTCTTTAATTTCCCATGACTTATAAATCTCATTTAAACTTGATTTTCCTTGAAGATGTTAGTTAAGTATTAATGATTAGCTCATGCATTTTACTAAGAAACGATGTAAGAAAGTTCACGAAAAGCTTTAGGTGTAATTAAGCAGAACGTTAAATTTGGTTAAGCAGAACTTTAGGTAAGATAAAAAGAAATTACGTACGATTCAGGGAAAGTTTATGGTTTGTTTCTGTGAAACAAAATCCACTATCAGCTTGTGAAACACATTCGAAAATAACAACAACATTATTATACAGATACATGAGTTCTTCATCCAATATTATCAAAACAATGCTTATACAGTTTATACTGATAG